ATGTTTCTTTTGCAATGAGAGTGGGAAAGGGCCTTCTATCATTTCTCTTTTTCTTATTTTTTTCATATTTCCTTTTGTCCTGCTCCTCTTCACTCTTTAACTAAATCATTCTTGTGATTCAACGATGAAAGAGTTGTTTGTACGAAAACACGAAATGCTTTACTAGAACCCCATGGCACTTCTAATTCACTTGACAGGAAAGAGTTGCAGCGTCGGAAATGGACATTACTTGCCGGACGCCAAAAAATAGAGAACTAAATTTCTGGAATAGAAAGGAACTCGATTTCCCGTTTTTCCTTTTTTTGCTGGCAGTCATTTTTGAGAGTTCGTCTAGTGGCCATAGAAAAATGTCTTGTTTTGGACTCTCTGTAGCTTTTTTCTCCTCCCTATTGGTCGTTTAACCTTTTTGCTCATGCTTTTTTTTGTTCATGATGCTATCCCAATTGTAGCGGAGTTCGCAACGACATGGTCTTTTTTCATGTAGTTGAATTGCGATGTTTCGATTTCTGACCTTTTCTTAGAGATTTGGAACAACTTCATACTATTTCACTCTTGAGTTATTTCTTAGTCTTCAAAAGTTCTAGAACTAACATGAAGAGGATCATCGATAGCACTCGAAAAGGAAGAAAAAGCTGATTAAATTGAACTTGTTGTATAGCTTTTTTTTTTTCGTGAATTGCATATTATCATGTGAGTTTCAAGTCCACTTAGTTAATGAAATCGTTCATTACATTGTGCTGATGATGAACTCTGTCCTTAGTTTCATAATGACATCAAACTTATGTTGAATTCTGACTTCAATAGAAGACATGAATCGATTTTGTTGTTAAATCACATCTGATTGAGGATCACATATTGATTGTAGCGAATAATCTGGTGATTGGTTTTGCTTATGTATTAAGCTGACATGAAATTAGCTATTATCTTCTAAACGATGTGAAAGTATGATATGCCCTGATAATGAGGACATGATAGAAGAATACTTCATTTTGAAGAATTTAATTCGATTAGCTATATGTATAGTTTGTATAGCCGTTTCTATTTTTCTGTTATTCTCTTTCTTGAAGAGCTTTCTAACTAAAAAGGGATTGGGTCGCAGTTAGCACCATGTCGCTTTGAAACTATTCCATCCTTATTCTACCTCGCAATCGTCTCTTCTTGTCTATTTCTTCATCAGTTTCTGCAATGTTAATGCTGAAATTGTGTATCTCATCAAGCTCCTTCAGCTCAGCCGTTCATTTACTCAAGTCTATCTTGCTTATCCTTTCTCTCTTTTCCATTTTTATTTCTTCATCGTCTCATCCTCCTCATTCAGCTTTTCTTTTTAAAAGCCTAAACAGTTCTTCTTCTCAGACTCACATTCTCGTCCATCTCCTTTCCTCTATTTTGTGCATTTTAATTAATAATTTATATATTTCATAAAAGGATATATAAATATATTTAAAAAAAGTGCACTTTTTCTTTTGAACTCGCTTTCTTCATTTTCACTCTCATTACTCTTTTCTCTTTTTTTGCCATTCTTGACATTCTTCTTGTTCGTTTTAGCTTTTCACAAGACACCCATTTTGTAGGCTCTTTCGCATCCATATATTTCTGCTGACAGCTATAGTAACCGATGAATACCCGTTATCTTTTATTTTATCGTTTTGTTTCTTCTACCTCTTTTTCTTTTTGAACTTCTCTTCATCAATACATATAGATATATATATAACCATTTTCATCTTTTCTTTTTATTGCCCATCTTTGCACAGTTTTCTTATTTTAAAATCTTTTATTTGATTATTCACTTTGAAGCTTTGCATGATACGACTGTAGAGCAGACATCCAGTCGACAGTTTCCATACCATCATCACCTCTTATGCATGTTTATCGCCATTTTGCTTTTTCGTTCCGACTCGCTGCGATACGCGTGTTGATGATAAGCCAGCATTTTCTGCTCCTCTGTCTTTTTGTCTTTCTTTCTGTCTACCTCTTTGAGTCTCTCTTCTCATTCCTCTATTTCATACGCCATCTCTTTCACATGCTCTCTCTGTTTCTCTCCCATTCTCATTCTCTCTCCCTCCCTCTCCCTCTCTCCCTTACATTTCCTAGATATAGAGAGAAAGGCGTGATGGAGATGGGCGTTAAACCGACGTTTGAACTGTCGTCGGCTGGGCACGATCAAACGGACGAACCGAAGGTTCGTAACTTCGAAAGTCCATTTGTCCTAGTTATGATTTCTTGTAAACTCTTATAAATCATATTAAACTTTGCCGTTCATGCTGCTGTTTGATTGAAGCATTCTTTCTATATCTGGGTGTTGCTATCTCACCGTTTGTGTAGACTTTCTTTTCTATCTCTTTTCGTCTCATCCATTCCTCTCTTTCTCTGTATATTTCTCTTCATAATCTGCCATGTCCATCTCTATGTGTTACAAACAGACAACACAATCCATATGTGTATGTGCCCTTAAATGATTTGATCATGGTTAATGTGGCACATACCCATACACAGACATATTATGTGTCTTTAAAACGCACTTTCTCTCCGATTTTTTTTATTGAAATAATCAGTTGACAGAACAAAGTATAAACACTGTAATGGCCTCAAGCTATAAGGTTCTTTTTGAATTTTATACAAAACACTGTATAATTCTATGAAATTCTTTTATTTTTAAATAGCATATTCTGACATCAATTGTTCAACTTTTTGTACTTTCAATTCTGAAATAGCTTACGATGTCTGTTATGTGGTTCTGTTCACTAAACTGTATAATCGCTAGTGGAATTATCATTTATCGCATTATTCTTCTGCTTTCTATTGTTTGTTTCTGCTCTTTTGCTTCATTATTTTTGTAACTCTTGCTTGCTTGTAATAAGAGAGGAAGAAGAGAAAACTTAGTTTTTCCATTGAATAACTCCGTAATTTCAAAGTCAAGTCATGGCCTTTTTATTTTTGATTGCAATTTTGCCAGTTTGTTGCTGCTTCCACAAATCTTCGTTCACACACCCATTTTGTATTTCATTTTCTTCTCATCTGCCCTGTTTTTACAGTTTTTCGTGTCCCTTTTCCTTCAGTTGGTGATCATCTGCTTTGCTGCCGTTTGACTTTGCATCTTGTCTCTCGAATACGAAGGATATTGCAGACGTTTAAACTGTTTCTTCTCATTGTGTTGAAAGAATGAAATATATTGTGAATATCACAAAAACGTTTGCACTTTCATTCACTTCATTCGAAAACCCGCTTAGCTTCAGCCATCTCGTACCTTAATGTCTTTGTATTTTTTTGCTCTCATTTTACTTTTTTCTTTCTTTGCCTTTCTTGCCTAACTGCCTGTCTGCCATTCATTCATTCATTTTACTTCCTTCACCAATAAGCCTCTATACCAACGCCGTAAATGAAGAAATTACTTGAAAAAATGGATAAAATAATATGAGACTTATACTGGGGCTTAAGGACTGGTCCAAGTTTGTCTGGGTCGCTACGAGAGCCGAGAGATACAGGGGCAAGTCGTGGCCAGGGGGTGTCACCAGCGAGACACACATACAGCCCGAGTCTCTTTCCGTGTTTTGCTGTCGAGACACAAGCAATACGATCTCTCCTTTTTCTCCTCTCTCTCTCTCTATTGCTATCTCTCTTTTGTAATTTCGCAGAGTTTTTCATAATTTCTTCTTTTCATCATCTTCTATTCTGTTACCATTTGCTTTATCATATTGGAAGAATACATCTTTTAGCTTTTTTTATTTCATGAGACGGATTTGCTTCATAGTTTTACTGAAGTTCAACGGGCGTTTCGTTTTCTTTCATCTCCTTCCGTCTGCTTTTAACTCTTTCGATTAACTTCTGTTCACTTTCTCTTTTTTTCTTCTCATCAGTCTGTACAGTTCATCATTTCATTCGCTTTTGCAAAGACTATTAACTTGATTTTCATCAGACTTTTTTTCTCCAAAAATCAGCCAACTTTAGCCTTGTTCCCTGCACTTCGCCCATTTCTTTATATCAACTCTCTCTCTCCCTCCTTCTCTCCTTTTCTTTTCTCTTTGCCCCTTTTCATTACAATCTCAACTTCATCTCTCTCATTTCCTTAAATAAACTAAAGCCTTAATTTAGTCTAATCAATGATAAAGAAAGGACGTTCTTGTTCTATCACTACTACAGTCGAGCTACCTTTCCTAGTCTCTTGGTCCTATTTTTGACTTTTTTTTCTTCTAAACATTAGGCAGTCGCTCATTAGCTTAAATGCTTTTCTTTTCCTATTTTTTGTTAAAGAAAATTTCCTTATTCTCGTAGTACTTTTCTTCTTCTTATTTATTTATGCTAACAGCTCATTTATGCAGATTGTACTGAAGCAAATAGCAAACTTGTAATCATTTCTATCTCTGCCTGACCAATTCTATCAATTGTATTATCTCGGATAATAATGTTTAGAGCTGTTGGCTTTTGTTTTATTCATTACGGATGTTTGTGATCACTTTGTTTCTACATCTCTAAGAAAACATCTGAAGGTTTCAAGCATTATCATATCTAATGCTTTCCTCTTTCTGTTTTTGTCTTCTCCCCCTGAATCTCTAGATTTATTTTGCTTGTTTCTCATGTTTGATGTGAGCTTCTTCTATTTCCATACGAATGGAATTTGCTTCATTACATGTACAATTCGCTCATTTACCTTAGCTCCTTCTTCATCCCTTTCTCTCTATATCATTGTTTTTCTCTCTCTCTCTCTCTTTCTATGTCTGCCTGCTTTTCTCTCATTACACAGGCACACATCGATATGGATAGACAGCTTAGCATTCGTTTCTTCTTTTCACATTATGTCGTTTTTATTATGTTTTTTTTTCATGTCTCGTTCTGTTTCTTTTCAAAACTAATTTTGTTGTCTTTTTGGAGATTCATTCTCGTGCATCCAGCACGCCGACCAGCACCACTCATTTTCTTCGATATTGTGCCAAAGACGGTTCACGGGCTTAACGACAGATATTCACACCTACTTGATGCATGATTAATGTCTCTATGAGGAGGCCATGTCATGCCAGCTCCTCCTCAACAGATTGCAAACGGCTTCATGTCGCCGTGAACAACAGATTGTCGATGACAGAGCTATATTCGATAGCTTATACTATTCAACAAATAATGGATACAACCGAAAGCGGAGAAGGAGACCTGATCAAGACTCTTTCCGTTCATTCGGATATACCTCCAAGCCTTCAACGTCAACTACTACTTCTACAACCATATCTAATTTGACGCAATCAGGCTACTCAAATAAGGTTTCTTCTACACGATCCCTCTTCTCACCCCTATCGAAACTTAGCAATTTCACTATTGTTTTGTTTACTGTGCTATTACTTCAATGCCAATCAACTTCTGGGCAGCAGCTAGAAAAACGGCCGGAGTTTCTGCCATCTGAACAACAAGATGAGTATGTTCGTGAGAAGTTCGAAGCACGTGGTCATAAATTGCCATATAACGTCCTGGTTGTTCTCCCTGCTAAAGAATCCCACAACGACAAGTTTGGATTAACTATCGAAAAAGCTCGGCCGGTGATTGACATAGCTGTAAAGGATATTGAGTATAGTGGCCGAATGCCGCCTGGGTGGATCAATTTAACATATCATGATTCGCGTTATTGGGAAGATACGACACTGGCTGAACGCCACTCATCTGTAGGTGTCATACAAGCATACTGTGAGCATCGGCTAGATGCAATATTAGGATTTGCTGACAGCTATGGTTTAGCAACTGTCACAAAAGTTAGTGCCGGTTTAAATGGAGGAATACCCGTGCTCACAACTGCCGGTATGCCCTCATCACTTCATTCAAAGAAGGCATATACGTTTCTGACACGAATGCAAGGAAGTTATCGGCAAATGGCTGACAGCATGTTCAAGTTTATTGCTTATAATGAAAGTCGTTTAACACGTAGTGATAACATTTCGCTTAACTATAAGCAAATTCTTTTTATGTATCACGATAAAAAGCGTGCAGTAAACCGTCCTGTACAAGAAGAAACAGCTGATTCGGATGATGTTAGCTCGCACTGCTACTTTACCTTATATGCCATCAAAAACTATTTCACGGAGAAGAGCCCTCTCTTCAAGACAGAATGGTCGATAAATACACCGTCGTTTGCCTTCGATGAAGAATTGCCCCGATCGCGTGGAACTGTCAAGGAATGGCTTCAGAATATTTCGATGAAAACAAACGGTGCGTTCTTTTGTTAATGTTAATTATTGCTCTTTTATTTTTATTACTCAAATAATAATTGTGTCTCATACTGGACTATCCAATCTTGAAGAGAATTCAACCTTCTCTATGTTTTTCTTTAACTTTCTTTTTTCTTCCATTGTCTTTTATTCAAATGCTCATTCATTTATTTGTATTGGAGCACAGATATATTCAATCTCAACTGCCTGAGCTTGTTTTTTCTTTTTGAAATTCCAACAGTGTTCACTCTCCCCCTCCCTCTTACAAACATCTCTCTCTCTCTCTCTCTCTCTCTCTCTCTCTCTCTCTCTCTCTCTCTCTCTCTCTC